TTGCCCTCGCTGCACCCTCCTCTGACTGGAACTTTCTCCTCCTTCAGGTTTCCCCTGGAAGGTCAGCCCTTCTCCAGCTCCCTCTCCAGCTCCGGGCCTCCTATCTGAGGGGCCCCACCCGTGGCTCTCCAGCACGTGCTCACTTTAATTCCATCTTGGCACCGTCACTGTAGGAAAGCGGCTTGTGTATTTAATCACTTGTTTGTTTTCTGTCTCCCAGCTAGAACGTAAGTTCCCTGAGTGCAGGGACTGTCCATCTGTCCACGGCTGTACCCCAGGGCCCAGAACAGGACCTGGCACACACACAGCTCATCAAACCAGAGGGAGGCACCGTCATCACCCCATTGTAGAGAAGCAGAAACTGAGGGTCCAGGAGAACCGTGCTCCAGGCATCCTGAGCGTCAGGGGCATGAGCCAGGCAGACCTGGCCCCCAGGATAGACCCAACTTCAAATGCCAGCCAGCGTTTTCCACCAGGCCCGTCCCTTGGAGTGAAGTCATTTATTCATTCTCCTCCAATGTCAGCACCTACTGTGGGGAGGATGTAAATGGCAGCCTGGGGACCTAGGACACAGTAGGCCTTCAGCAAACTGATGCCCAGCCCCACAGGGCCCCCAACTCTCTAACTTTCCCCCCACAACTCTCTAACTTCCCTTCAGGGAGGCCGGCTACAATTTGGCGATTGTTAGAGAACTTTTTTTTTTTCTTTTGGGAGGAAAGCTGCAAGTCATTAAGGGCTGCTCCCGGCCTGCGGGTCACCATTTCCTGTTTAGAAGAAAGAATCATCTCTCCTTTGGAACATGAAGCTCCCCCCACCCCCAGCCTGACTCCGGGGCTCCGAGCTCTGGGCCGCCTGCACGCCTGCTCAGCTCCCCGCAGGAAACTGGCACCTTCAGCACCTTTTGTGCTCAGAAAGGACACTCATTTTCTCTGGCCCCAGGAGGGCCCCGAGGTGAGGTCACCACCACAGCCTGCCAGCCAGGAGTGAATTATCCCAGCCCAGGAGGCAAGCTGACTGTCTTCCCGTCCTGTCCTGGAGCAGGAAGCTGAATGACCCCTACCCTTTGGCCTGGCTTCTCACCCTCCTGGCTCCAGCCAGACAATTTCCTTGCATCAAAGGCCATTTGGTACCCAGCGGCCAGACGGAGGTGTGGGTCCAACAGGGAGGCCAGTGGGGCTGAGCCCTTGGAAACAGGAAGGACATCCTCTGTCCCCTTCTTGCTCGTGGCGTTCCACTCGTCAGCTGTGAGCAGCAGCCAAGCCCTCTCCCAAGCCCTGCAGTGCTGGGCACAGCCCCCAGCCTGTCGAGTTGATAAGACCCAGGGAGCCAGCTTCGCAGCCTGTAGGCCTGGTCAGCTTCAAAATGGTCAACAGAGAGTAAGCGCCACATGTAGCGTGCAGGAGCCCACACCCCCCCCACTGTGCCCCCCACCCCCCCACCGCCCAGCCACAGGTGCTTCCCCACCTCCACATCGCACAGGACACAGGCTCACAGGAAAGCCCATTTGCACAAACAAGGTCCCTGTCAAACCCAGGAGTCCGGAGTCACAGGATGTTTAGGAGGACAAGATTTAAGGCTGTGTCAGTACTCTGAACTCCACCAATCCCTCCCCTCACCGCCTCCCTAAAGGCCCTTTAAAATACCCGCTCCTCTAGAAAACCAAGACTTTCTTACATATAAATTAACCGCTTTATTGAATATCAATAAACTGTACATATAACTATACAAAATGTTTCCTTAGTACAAAATGTTGCTTGCAATATAAATACCAGTGTACCTTTAAAAAAATGTAAACATCTTCCTCCTGGGCCCACCTGTTGGGTCCCTGAAAATAGTTCTGGGAGACACATTGGTTGGGCCGAAGCACCCTATTTGGGCCCCTGACAAGTGACGGCAATTACTCACATTCCCTTTTGAGACGCTGTTAAATTGCCCGTGAAACAGGTGCCACCATGACAAACAGGAGGCTGAAATAGCTGCCCGGGCCTGGGGCATCCTGGGGTCTAGACATGTCCTTGTGTCAGAGACCGCCCCCCAGGCCCCGTGGACACCGGGGGGTTGCTGCAGTTACTCACACCTCCTGGAGAGGTGGCCTGAGGGTTTCTGGGGTGGGGAGGAGTGGGGTCCCCTGAGTGGGGTGGGAGCCTCTATCAGTCTGTTGGCTTTTGTCCTGTAGCTCAAAGCAGCTGTATCCAAACAGTTTTGGATACACAAGCCCACACATCAAGGCCAACTCCAGAACGCTCGCTGGGGAGCAGTGGCTGCCAGAAGGGGCCACCCTCCCATCAGCCGTCCACAGAGCCAACCGAGGCCCCCCAAGCAGACACACTGGAAATGGTCCTCAGCGCCCTGTGAAGCTACAACAGCCAAAAGGGGAGCTCAAAAGGGAATTCCACGGCGGTGGGAAGGATGCAGGGGTCCTTCCTTCCAGAGCTGGGGGAGGCCGCTGCAAGGGGAGGGTCTGGAGAGGCAGAAGCAGCCGTGGGGGTCAGCGGGGGCCCCCTGAGCAGCCTGACTCTTCGTGTTTGTGGAGCAGGGACATGCGGGAGAAGGTGCGGGAGCACGTCTTGCACTGGTACTTCTTGACGTCTGAGTGGGTCTGGAGGTGGGCCCGCAGGTTGGAGCGGTCGGCAAAAGCGCGGTTGCAGTGGGAGCAGGAGAAGGGCTTCTCCCCTGGGGAGAGAAAGCAGGAGGCGGTCAGGAGACTGCTCGGTCTCTTGGACAACAGCTGACATTTATCAAGATCCCTACTCACCCACCCCAGCCCTTAGAGCCCTGCTCACCCCCAACACTGAAGGAGCCCCGTGACCCAGAAAAAACAGGCCATCCCGGTGTCCAAAGGCCTGGTTTTGATTGGGAGCTCTGCTGCGTCCCACCCTGTGGCCTGGAGCAAGTCTTCTGGCTCCTGAGCCTCCATTTGCTCCCAGGTAAAAGGTGCTGTTCACCCCCCACCCACAGGGGGTTGGTACCAGCGAATGTTGAATAATGTGGTCATCCACACAGTGCCGGCAGGAAGTGATGGCAACTGCGTTACTGAACATTTACTCTGTGCCAGGGACAGTGTAAAAACACTTCTCACTCAGTCCTGTCCTTGCCTCCGTTTAGAGAGGATGACACTGAGGCACAGGGGAGGCCAGTAGCATATGCAGGGTCAGCCAGCAGGAACCCAGCAGCCTGACTGAGGCCTTGATTTTGACCCCTCCACAGACTGCCGCTCAGTTAAGGAGGCTGTGGTGGGTGTTCCTTGTCCTGTCTCCGGAATTGGCTTCATCTGGGGATAGAGCATTAAGAGTCGGCCTTAAAGGTCTCCTCGGCCCCCAGTCCACCCCAGCAGATTTGGCCACTGCTCTGGGCCAAATTGAAGCTCGTCACACTCAGGGTAATTTCAAGTCTCCTTGTCTGCCCCCCAAGAGGCTACAGAACCCTTTTACCTTAGGACTTGTTTAAAACCCTCCCCACCTGTAAGCCTCCAGCCACCTGCCTTGATGAGCTTGTTTTTGGAAGTCTTATACACTAGGCACACAGTAAGTGCTCAGTAAGCACTTGTACAATGAATAAATTCTGTGAAGACCTCAGAAGCCCCTGACATCAATCACCCTATCACCTTTGTCATAATTCCTGTCGCCACCAAGAGGATGTTATGACAGTGTTATGTTTTGTTTTTTCTTAGGGATGCAGCATTTCCCAAATAAAAAGCCAGACTAGTAACTCATTAAACAAATACTTATAAAGCTCCCACTATGTGCTGGGCACTATTTTATAACACTGAATAGTCTTTTCCAAAAAAATACAATTCTCAAGAAAAAAAAAAGAAAAGCAATCAATCAATCAATCAATCAAATGCAATTCTCCTCCCTCCCACTGATAAGCCCCTAGGCCATGGCCCACTAGTTAAATCCCAGTGCTGGAATTCCAGAACAGCAGGGAATGAATGAATTACAGCAGCCTACTGGTGCCGGGTATTGTACTGGGCACTGGGAAGAAGGGGTCCAGAAGTCAGATGCCTGAGGCTGACTGTGGGACCCATCCGTTCAAAAGCTGTCTCCTGAAGCAGAAGGGGGGCTACCTAGCCAGAGAATTGGGAAAGGGATGTCATTTGCTCTGCCATTATTGAGCACCCTCTGTATGCCAGGCCTGAAGAGTTTGATGATTGTGTTCTACAAGGTCTAACCCAGCGGTTCTCAACCTGTGGGTCGCCTAAGACCATCCTGCATATCAGATATTTATATGACGATTCATAACAGTAGCAACGTTACAGTTATGAAGTAGCAATGAAAATAATTTTATGGTTGGGTCACAACATGAGGAACTGTATTTAAAGGGCCAGAAGGTTGAGAACCACTGGTCTACGTGAAGTTCCTCCTCATTCACACACTCCTTTGTGAACAAAGGTTAAGCAAATCGGGCAAATGAGATGGAGTTCTGTACTCCCCAGGGCACAGAAAGCCACCTCCCTCTAACCACCTCGGGGAGGTGAAGGAGCCCTCTCCAGTCTTATAAGCTGTGTCTCGAGAAAGTAACTTCCTTCTCTGTGCCTCAGTTTCCTCATCTGTAAGGTGGGGATTATGGCATCTCCCTCCTAAGGTGGTTGATGGAATTACTGTGCTAACACCGGTGAAGGAAGCCCCGAGCACTGACCTCCACACAGCAAGTGCTCAATGAACACTTTCAGTGCTAAGTAGGAGCAGACAGAAGCCTGAACAAAAGGGAAGGAGGCCCGGTCGGATGTGATGTGGTGGAGGTTTGTGTGCAAGCAGGAGGCGCAGACCTCCACCCCTCACTGAGCCCCCACCCCAGACGCCTTTATGGTGCTCCTGGCGAGTGTGAAATCAGCACCAGGCTGGCAGGGACAAAGGCTGCCAAGGGGGACACTGTACATGCGATACTCCCCGGATTAAAGGGGCCTGACACGCTGTGGGCCAGCAGCTGCGGCCCAGAACAGGTGCTGGGCACCGATGCCCTATGCACCTGCTCTACCCCGCCAGCCCCACCCACCAGAGCCACCATTAAGGCACACAATGGTGTCAATGAGGATGGCCATGGTGAATTTCAACAAGCTTTCTGTCTGAGCCATGCCTTTACATTAAAATAATGTCTCATGAGAGGAGAGAGGGCCACGGTGGCTCCAACTCACCTCAAATGGAGCCCCATCAGCTGGCAGGCACCCAGGACAGAGGCCAGGGAGTTGGACTGGGACATGTTAAAACCAGGACCCTTTGTGCACAGAGTAAGAGAAACGGGTAGCCATAGTCTGCAAGCTGGGGAGAATGCCAGGGTCACTTTCTGGGAGTAGTAACGACACCAATAATGTCTGCAAACTGTATTCCTCACACACCACCCCACTGACCCTCGTGGCTCCGAGGTCAGTCCCTGCCTGGGCCAGGAAATGCCAGAACTGAGCCTCCAACCAGACCGTTTGACCCCAGAGCTGATACTATGACCCTTGAACCTTCTCCCTCAACAGTCACTCCCCAAAGAGCAGCCCCAAACATGGTAGCCTCCATCATTCAAGTTCTGAAAAGTGGCTACCTTTTGCCCATTCTCTAGAAAGTTAAAGGACAGAAAAGGCTCCACCTCGCAATTTTCTACACATTAAGTATTTTTGAAATACCAAGACATAATCGTGTTTTCTGCCAGCAAAGGTGTTCCTGGGTCTGCATAACAGGATTGAATTGATCTACTCCAAGGTGTGGGTGGGGAGAGCCATCCTGATAGCTTATTATAAAGTGATTAAAGAGCCACTGAATCTTCATAGCCACCTTATAAAACACCTTCGTAATCCACCCTATAAGATTATTCAATCACACTCTTGAGGTTCAGAGAGGTTAAATCACCTGCTTAAGGTCACACAGCATGGAAGCAGAACAAATACCAACTACCCATTTTTGTGCATGCGGATCATGTAACAAACACACTTCAGGTGCTTTCTGTATTCTTTCTTTCATTTAACCCACACAGAACCTCCCCCCCAGACCCCGCACCCCTCAGACCCCCGCCCCAGGTATCTCATGCTCAGTTAACAGATGAGAAAACTGAGGCTCAGAGTGAAACATCAGCAGCCCAAGGTTTGAGAAAGTTCTCCAAGCGGCATTCAGAGCCAGGTGGGGGGCCTCTAACAACATCCTGTCTGGCTGAGGTGGGGGTGGGCTGGGAGAGGGTGGGGCAGGGAGGGCCCCTTCACACCTGGCTCCAACAGCAAGGTGTTGGTGGCACCTTTCCCACATTTGGCTGAGAAACTGAGATTGCAGAGGTACTTGTCAAGTTCTCCCCTTAACCCATCTGCTTCGCTGATGAACGAGGACATTTTTCTGCCAAACATTTCAGAGAGCCAGGCCCCGGAACTCTCGAGCTAGAAGTCCTAAGACTCGGTGTCTACAGTCTGAAGTGGACAGCAAGCCCAGTCTCCCAAGAGCTGGTAAAGAAGGTGGAGGGGACAGTGCGAAGGGCACTCACCGGTCTCACCGGTGTGGGTCCGGACGTGGCCCTGCAGCAGCCAGGGCCTGGAGAAGGCCTTCCCGCAGGTGCCACAGACGCAGGGCAGGGTGTGGCTTCGGATGTGCATCTTGAGGGCACCCAGGCTGACGTATTCCTTGTTGCAGTATTTGCAGTTGAAGGCCTTGCGAGACTGGGGGTCCTTGGCCCCTGAGAGCCCGGACAGCTGCTTGGGCAATGGGCCCAAGCCCGGGAAGGCAGCGTAACCGTCGGCCTCCAGGGAAGAGGCTGAGGTGGAGGAGAAGGAGGACGGGGCTGGCGAGGGTGGGCTGGGAGGCTGGGAGCCTTTCCCACTGTCCTCGTCGGACAGCGAGGTCAGCTCAACCACCTTGGGGATCTCCCGGGGTAGAAGGGAGGCCCAGCCAACCGGCTGGGCTTGTGGCGCCAGGAGAGAGTCCCAGATGAGCGTGGGCAGCGAGGCTGTGGGGTTGAGGACCTCCGGAGGCGGGATGGCCGCCAGCAGGTGGGCCTGGTCGTAGGGCTGCTGGAAGGTGAACTCTGTGAAGGGACGGAGACAAAGGCAGGGTCAGGCATTAGATCAGTCAGTCGGTCAACAAACATCCGCCCGCTAGGGCCAGGGGTAGGATGGGGCTGACACGTAATACTTTAGGTTCTTGCCTCACCCAGGTCCTGGTTCTCCCACCTCCGCCTCCACATCTTAAAAAGGATCCCCCTTTCCCAGCCCCAACTCATGGGGGCAATTCCCTCTGGAATTCCCAGCACCCCCACCACCCCAACCACCCCAGCCGAGGCACCACCCCTGTCCCACTCCCTCTCCCCATACACACCTCCCCACCCTCTTTCTCCCCAAATCCTCCAGATTCCGGACTCTCCCCAGCTCTGGCCAGTGTCTCTCCCTAAGAAGTGGCTCTCATTTCTCACTCGCCGGCTTCCTCTGCTTCTTGGCAGCTAGGACCTGCCCTCAAACCCAGACCGTCGCCCTCGGAAGGCCCTCCCCCAACCGCCCGGATCCACCTGCCGCGGGCTCCGCATGCCCCTGGCCTCGCAGGTCCCCGCGCCGACTCCTTTGACTCGCCTATGGCCCCTCGTCCTTTCCCCCAGGTCCGCTCCCCTAAAACGCCCCCCAAACCCTCCCCGCAACGGGGCCTCCGTTCACTCACCTGGAGAAGAGTCGTGCAGCTCGCTGTAGTTGGGCCTCCGGCGGGAGCAGGCAGACTTCCTGACGAGGAAAGAGCGCGGCATGGTGGCCGAAGCAAGCCGGGGTCGCCTGGCCGCGCTGGCGTCGTAAGGACCCTCCCCCGCGAGGCCGAGCCGCTGCGCTGTGAGAGGAGCGGAGCCACCAACTCCTTTAAGTACTCCAGAACGCGGGGCGGGGCCAAAGTATTCCCCGCCCCCTTTGTCACAATCGGCGCCAATCGAGGAGCGCCTTGCCGGAGGCCACGCCCCAAGCAA